TTTTGTAATCTCATTGTTTAAAAATTTATATGTGTAAAATACAAAACTGTATCACAAAACTATACGTCGAAGCAAATTATTATTATTATTAATAATGTATATATATTTTGTAGACATGTGTATATTCAGTGGCATACATTCAATTTTAATTTTCTTATGGGGGGTGGGGTGATTGAATTGTAAACATAGTTTTTATGTCAATATCAAAGTATATTTGTATACCTCCTTTGATGAAAAATAAATATTTTTATGATTTCATCATAATTGACAAATAATACAATTTATATTAAACACACATTAAAATAATTATGATAAAATATTTATGATGTACATATTTTGCATTTTACCCGTTTAAAAATTGGATTCTTTTAGTCTTCGAATGTGGTTTTAATCCCCCTCCCCCAGTGTCGTCGTGAGGGGTGTGCAAAAAGTGCAATCGCACTTTTGGATCGGCTCTTGGGCCTCGCGCTTTTATTTTGTAGTATATCCAGATCTGGCGCTTTGCGTTTATTATTTTCACAGGGCCTCGCAAATCACAGCGCCAGCACTTCCCCCCCCCCAACATTTGTACGCTACTGTATATATTATCTATAAACTCTCAACATATGCAGTTGTTCAAATTAACTGAAATATAGATAATAAGTTAATGGACCCAGTCGCGGTAGCTGCGAATAACAATAAAACGAGAAGTGCGTGACGACGGTATACAGCAGTGATTTTCAACCTGTGCGTCGCGGTTCCCAGAGGTGTCACCGATTATTATCAAGGGAGCCGCGTTCGCAATAAAAACTTAAAATAAAATTTCCGCGCACCAATACATATTACATGTTGCGTGTGTGAGACAGATCGGCCGTCGATAACCGTGTTTGCGATATCAAGAAATAGCATATTTCGACTATTATTTACAATTAGGTAGGTACTTAATGATTTGCCTCTAATCTAATCTATTTTAAATGTTCGTATGGGAGCCGTATATTTTATTTCAAAATCAAAAGGAGCCGAGGACTCAAAAAGGTTGACAACCACTGGTATATAGTATATTCTATATACTAACACGAATCGTCTAACTTGTATTTAACACGTGTAATTTTACAAATATCTTTCTGTCGACTGTACAGCCAAAACCGATGAATCAGTCGATTTGAAAACTACACGGATTAATTGGTTTTCTGTGTAGACGGGATTTAAAATATTTCTAATTCATCCGACGACTACAGTCAGATAAATGTGTTTAAGTATTAGCGTGGTAATTGCTGGAAATGTTATATTTTTTTTTTCAACATCTGTTCTTTTTTTCATCGACCGTTCATCAAGTGACGGGCTTTGTACGCCATGGTACGTTTCTAGTCGTTATCGCTATTTGAACAATAATGGTAATAGAGATAATGATAAGCATTTATTAATCATCTCATTAGCATTAAGTTCAGTAGTCATGCGAGACGTATTATCTTAGAAATGTTGTGTTTGTTCTACAAATGTTATTAGTCATTATGACTAATGGGTTGGATTAATACTCATATATGTTTTATATAAGCGATGACCACGTGCATCTAAAAATGTTTACATTATTGTTTTCCAGTAATATTCATCAACTCGTAAAAAAATAATTTAAAATCTAATAAAAATGCATGTACGAGTACATATATAATTAAGAAAAATTATACTTTTAAAAATCAAAACTTAGGTCTAAGAAATCCTCATTCCATCATTTCTTTCATTCAATAAAAACAAATATAAGAGTTTACTATTTTCAGAATTTTAATTAAAAAATGAGTGATATATCAACAAAACACTCCGTCAACTTCAATTAAAAATATCACTAAATTTAACATCAAACACAACTATAAATATTTTTATTAATACTAAATATTTCTAAAATTATTAAATTGACTAAATGACTATACAACCCTTTTTTGATATTTTAAATTGAATATCTTTTTTTTTTTAACTTAAGCAAGGTTTTTAAACGAAGTTGATGGCAGTGTTTTTACTGGAATACGAGATGTGTTCACTAAATACCCAGATTAAAATAATTATAATTACTACAGAAAATTTTTTAATGTTATCGATAATGTTGTTATGCCAAAAGAAACTAGAGATAATGTTTATTATTTCAGTATAAAATATTAAACATGATCTATAATCAGTCATTAATAGTAAGAGTTCAAAGTTGGTTGTTCTATAAAAAATGTTTAATACATTTCGTCTGAATATTTATTGAACACATTTCATATTAAATATAACATATAAATAAATTGTAACGTTTCACACTTTTTGTATTTAATATTGAATAGAAAGGAACGTTATGTGACACACCGTAGAGTCGCCAACCTATAGCCGAGACTTGAAAGTCGGAACGTATAGTTTTATATAGAGATGTAATAAAATAAAATTAAAATACATCATTAATGCTATAAAAAATATAGTAAACAAAATAAAATTTGGATTGGTCGAGCGTAAGATCTCCACCTTAAAATTTTAATCAAAGAAAAGGAATGAAATTTGACCATACTGGTCGGAAAAATATAATAATAATATAAAAATTAAACAAAACAATGGATACCGACTATAAAGGACAATTAATATATAAAAAGTAATAAGAATAATTAAAATAATGCATCACCAAATGACAGACTTCCTCAAGCATCACCCCCGAGAAGCATCAATAGAAGTTCGCCTTAGTCATTCATCAAGAAGAACTAACTCTGTATACTACTCATATAATGGTCACCGTTACGCTCATTTCATTATGGAACAGATGAGCTGGTAGAAAATAGTTATAACAATCAATTACAGCCGATATCACGTATATAAAATAATTTTAAGACTTATGGATTTATGACCTATGCATGTATTATCCGTGTAATACAATTATACGTGTATATAAGGTCCAGAAGTTTTTATAACATTTATTTTTAAGAATCTATAATATTGTTGTGTAATTCTTATGTACCTACACTATAAAATTCTAATTTTTAATTTTTTTTCATTAAGTGATTTCTTATTTTATTATCATCCAAAAATTACAACTTATAGATGTAGGTAAACTCACTGTAGTATGTCAGTCAAAATCGTAAGGTTTACACATAAAGTTTTAACTGACGATTCATCAACCTTGAAGTAACTTTAACGAGTACTGAATCATAAATATTAAATCGTGATGATAACCATATTATCGTACATGTAACAAAAAAGTCAAATGTAACCTAAAGGTTATTATTTATACTATTATTGCTGTTAATTCTGGTGTGGATTAGGTCATAATATAATATGCATATTTTCCCTTGCAGGAGGAATTCCCAAACATTAGTGATCTGGGGCCTTATTCTGAATGGCGAACGAACGGTTTTCGTATGGAAAACCCGCTTTTTATCCGTATGCCGCGGCTTATTGGTACATGTGAATGATACCTGTACGTACAGATCAACTATGCGAATTTCCGTATGAAATAGAAAAGGCTATTTTATACATCATACGAATTTATTATACAAATACCATAGGAAGTTTATACACGGACTGTTGCGTTCTAATGATTTTATTTGTGTGTATTTCAAAATTATCGGACTTAAAATTGTTCGAAGATTATTGTTCATATATAATTGTAATATACATTAAATAGTATTATTAGGATGCTATATTATACGGAAACTAAATATATGGTGCATACCATGTGAATACCGATTCATATAATCACATATTATCATTTCGTTTATTGACGGTAGGGCGAAACTTAACGATCTGAATCCATATTACATATACCTATACCTAGGTAGTTAAGTATTTTAGTACCTAGTACAACTATTTTAACCCAGGGTGATCCGTCATAAATTCCGCAAAAGTTATTTTTTTGTCTTGACTGGCAGACGCAGATTTAATTTTTCGGTTTATTCCGTCTGCATCTTAAATAACTTTTTGAGTAGTGAAACTGAAACACAAATTTATGAATGGTTATATCGATTTTTATTTGTGAATTTTTCCACTTAACATTTTAGTAAAATGTTCATTATTCATTATTTAATAAATTAATTATTATTATGTATGAATGATTAAGTATACTAAAATATATACCATTACTCGAGCTTTACTATCTATTAGTTATTACTTATATTAATAAGTACTATAATAATTATATTATACCATTAAAACCATAACATAAAATATTATCCAAATAACAAATTTAATAATTATAGGTATTTTTAGGTATTATAATATATATTACATTATAGGTAGATATTACATACTTACTTTCAATTTTAACAATAAAATAAGCACAATTGAAAAATGTCAAACGCCATTAGCCAATGTTAGGTATATTCATAAAATCATATGCACACACAATTTATAAATGTTATACACTCGCATATCGCATGTCAATCAAAAACAACATTACTTAAATCTTTAACATTACGTTATTTTCAATTATTTGACCATCGCGTTAGCGGAGTAATTTTTTTTTTTTAACATTACAATTATTATCCAATGCAAAAAAAATACAATACGAAAGTAATTTTTTTTTTTTTAAACTACGTAAAATGTACATGCATTGTAAACGGACGGCATTCACAGTACGCATAAGTTATACGGAAACGTCCGTATGACGTTTTAAAATACCATTTATACAAATGATTAGTATACGAACGATTCTAACGTACAGAAATCGTTTGTACGCCGTTCAGAATAGGGCCCCAGTAGTTCTTGATTTTTTTTTTTATATTATTTAATTTACACGGAATTATGGTGTATTTATCTGAGTACAATATTACCCGTTCAATATAATATTATATCCAATTATTCACTATAAAAAAAAAAAATATCGAAAACTATAGAAATCCAAAGTAATAACAGTTTGGTAACCCTTAGCCGAGGACTATTATCCAGTGCTACCAGGAATGCAGGAGTGGGTGATATACCAGACGAATGGATGTTCACAAACGATTCACATAATAAGTTTCTCTACACCGTCCACATTTACTTCAAGGCTGTTGAACGTAACACATGCACTCACCGCTACCACCGCTGCCGTATCATTGATTTTTTCATTCCGAACGCTTGTCCAGCTGCCATCGAATCAACCCCGAGATTCGACCGAGGATTTCGAGCAGGTGTTTTCGTCGTTCCTGTCAGGTGAGATTTTTTATGTGCACGATTTTATATAATTGTAAATCGCTAGGCCATTTTCGTAACATTTTATGCATGGTTTTTATTGTTAGGAAAAAATGTTTTTTTTTTTTAAATAAATATTTGTCGATTATGTAGTGCCGTAACTGTTATTGGTGAATTTTATTTTGGTTTTTTTTTTTTATATAAAAAACCAATTTAATTTCAATTCAATCGCGCGTCCCCTTGACAACTGCCCATTTCGCCAACCTCTAGTTACGACACTCGATATGAAACACCAACTATTTGTGATTACGTGTAAAACACGTTGGTCGTTAGTAATTTAAATATTCTATAAGCTCACTTACAAGATCAACTTATTAACGGACATAAATGCTATCAGCATGACGTAATGTATGAACATATTGAGTACGAGGCATATTCCATGAAAGATACGAAAAAAATATTGTACAATATATTACCGTATATTGTACATTATATACCACCTGTAACGCTGTTATCTTTGATTCATTTATTTTCTCGTTAGTTGTTTTATCCGAGTGAGGCTAATTGAGGTTCAAGAACTTAGCCAGTTGTGTTTTAATAAATTCATATACGATTGTAATTCAAAGAATAATAGGACCTTTCGATATTAGCTGAATACGGTTCATGAGTAATGATATGGCACGGATGAGATAATATTATCGCATACTTTGTGGTTGTATTTTTTTCCAGTATATAGGCAACACAAATATACACCTTTTCAGTTTCGCTTTTTTTCGAACGGCATCTCTAAATTATCACAGAATTGATTAAATCCGAAGTACCAATTGAAAGAAACAAAAACGTATCGGTCATGTTGTAGTTCGCTTATATATTGAGATCTTATTAGTTTAGTATTATTAGTTCAGATATAGATTTGATAAAACGATTTACTTTTTATTATAATGAAACAATTAGTTTCATTGTTTGTTTTGACGCTTCTTACGGTGCGAAAAATACAATTTGTACACTAAAAATTAAAGATGCAATAATAAACAATAAACTATAACATTTTGAATTGCTTAAGCATTTTTAGTTACTCTTACTAACAACTGTATGAAATTAGTGAACAAAAGACGAACAAAAATACAAATTTTATCATATCACAATTTCATTTTTATATTTTTTTAAATCAATTTAAACTATATATTTACAAAATAATAAAAATTAGGCAATTGATAAGTGTACATGCTAAATTGAGCAAAAACAATAATAATAATCAGAATTCAATTAAAAATAATAATTCTTAAATAGTCATAAAATATGATAAATTATGTCAAATATAAATTAATAAGATGTCAAGTGTTTGTTAATAATAAAATACTATTTACAAATGTTTAAAACTGTCAATTTTTTATTTTTTAACTGCCATACCGAAATAAATTTCCTATTTAAAAATTTAACACATGTAATGATCGTGAATCTAACAGCCTAATTAAATAAACATGATCTAAGTCTGAGTATGGGTGTTTATAAAATACATTGCATAGATATTCATTTAAATTAAAAGCTATTCCTTTACCAACTGAAAGTAACGAGAAACTTTGTACAAGATTATTTTCCAATTCAAACTATAAATTGATAGAAATCATTATTAGGCATTTGTAAGTGACAATTAAGTTATATGTACAGAATGAGGGTATGCTCTAAAACAAGATATTAAAAGAGATAGTTCTATATTTTATTGAGGACTACCACACTCCATATATAAATCACATATATGTGAACCTAAACAATAACTATATATGTATATACTCGCAAACAAAGTCACAAAAATATTAAATTATGGTAAAAAGCATGACAAAATAAAAAATATTAACAAGCTAAAAAGTAAATCATATTATTAAATCCTTCGACCATATAAACTAATAATAGACGCGGCACACCGATAGTATTTTGACAACATCTAGTATCGTGTGAAGTCACGTTCGAGCAACACTGTCGCGTCAGTCGGTTGTACGGATATATATATATATATATATATATATATATACGAAATACGGATTACTCTTTTTTTTTTAAATAATTGTATTGCTATATTTCCAATAAAAGCAAATATAAAAAAAATAAAAAAAAATACGGATTACCATAGACTGTCGTTACTCGTTTGGGTTAATACAATAGATTAATTGTCCAAAACCTAAATGTCTAATGAATAATGATGAGGTATTTTAAATTCCACGCCGAAAAAATATGTAGATACAAAAATGGATTAGTAAATTCAGCCTGGGAAAATAAATATTTTTAAACTAAGGGTCCCGTGACTGTACGACGCGACTGTACAGTTCGCGACTCGGCGTGTTATAGTATTTAGAAGTCACAAAATGTTCAAACGAACACGGAACGATCGTATCTTAGACGACAATCGTCAATCATGTCATATCTTATCACCATTACCACATATTGTATATCTAATCCAGCGTTTACCCATGTTTCGCCGAGGAAGTATATTGTACGATCTTCACTGCGATAACGCCATATGTCTTCAATATAATTCTGTCGCCATACCACGAGATATCCTCTTTCCCTTAATGCGCTGTTTCGGCTTCTTTTGGTGTATTTAAAATTTAATTCTTTCAATATCCCTCGTAAAGATGTACAAGGTATATTTGGAAGATCTGGATCATTATTGATAGTTTGAACAATTTTGTTCAAAGTTGGAATCTCACGTCTCAACCAAAACCCATAAATTTTCTGACGTATAGTGTTTTTATTAAAATCATCAATTTTTTCCAGGTTTGTTAGACGATATTTTTTTTACACGACGACGTAAATTCACCACTTTTTTTTGTATTCGCTTATTGTACTTATAACCGTACGCATTCCAATACCGGAGTCTCTTAAAAGAGATGCCATCAATTCTTTGTACTTCATACCTGGTTGCTCTTATTTTTTGTCTTGTATAGATATATTATTTTTATTTTTTGCTGTCTTCCAACAAACTGGAGATTTTTTTTAAGGGTGACAATATTTCTGAAGAATCAATGTTTTGTTCGACAGATGTAGAAGGATCATTCGATTCATGTCGATTCTTCATTGAAAATGTTCATTTTAAAAAAAAAAAATAATGACAAAATGACAAAATGTTAGGCAGTATACAACAAATGTCAAAGCAAACGCGCGGTTCGAAGATGTGACCCACACTATGTAGAGTATACGTTATAATACCGTTATGATAAACATTATACATGTGTGTCGACCATAGACTAATAATATTATACGTCTATGGTACCGACCGTTAATACAGTGATCGTACTGTATCGATATTTCAAATTGTTGGGGATGCGCACAATCGAACTCGTTTCGGTCGGGACACGGTTTACTTCTCTCGTGACACGGGTATATATATTTATGTGTGTGTATATACAGCAAGTAAATATAATATTTATTATATACATAAAATTAACTTTATTATTTAAAATATATATTTACCATTATAATGATACCCATACATAGATGTATTAATATAGGGATGCGATATTTCTCAAGCTCGTTCGGGTTTTCGAAACCCAACTGTATAATAAAACTAATGTGCCTACGATGACAATGGAAATAATATAACAATCACGCCTGTGATGGCTAGGCCCCTCGACCTTTACAATGCGACAAGGAACAGATATGTTCGACCAATACTCACAATATGTAACTGTGTTGAGTGGCGGGTTTCATCCCACGCGACCGCACCGGAACTGTGACAAAAATGTTGTCTTTTTCGGCATACCACGGAGTTACAAAATAATACAAATAAATAGTTGTCACGGCCCTGGGTACGTGCGACCACCCTGACACAATTACAGACGAGAATGCACAGGTCCGCAGCACTGAACAACGAATTTTATGGAACGATAGTTCACCAGATGGTCGATTTACAGTAGACAAAAATGACAAGTTGAACAAAAACGTAGTTTTCACGAAGACGACTGCACGAACATTCGAACAAATTGAAAACGACGTGCACATCACCAAGACAAAAAAACGAGAGAGAGAGAGATGGTGCCGACATCCACCGCAGTCTATGGCCGCCAGACACCAAGACGAAGATAAAATGTCTGAGTGCCACCGCACTAAAACTAAAACACGAGACCTTTACAAAAATTTGTGGCACTGAGACCATGACTTGAAAGAATACGTACAACGTTTTTTTTTTTTTTTTTTAGAAAAAATACAATTAGAACATTTTCTGAACGTAACCGAATAGTTTGACAACGTGAAATAACGAACACATTTTTATGCAATGATAACGATGCAATGACGTACCCGACCGGTCGCACACGGAGGCTTATCGCCGCCGTTGACAATGGCTACGGATATGCAACGCACCGCACTAAAATGATAAAATGGAATGAAAACAAATGATACAAAACCTATATATCAAATTAACATCAACAAACGGAATTTAACGCCTAAAAGGTCCCCACACACTGCAGCGGTGGCGTTAAACTTGTACACTCGTATTGTAATGGAAGTCCGCACACTGCTGCGGTAATTCGGCCACGGTAAAATATCACCGCTGCGATATTTATAAAAACCGTAGCATGCTCGATTTTACCGCCACCGCTCAGCGGTATTTTCTATTGACTTATCAAATATACGCTAATAGTACTTATCTAATATATATATGGTGCATATTAGCAGGCTCGGCTCAAGGGGTAAGCGACATAAGCCCACGCCTAAGGCAGCATTTTTCCTCGACAATTTTTATGTATAAAAAAAATATTTGCACGTAAGGGGCGGAAAAACTAAATTTCGTCTATGTTTGTTTAAACACTTGAGCCGGGCCTGTATATTAGTCTAGACTTCGATTATTTCGTAGAAACTATTCAAGTTATAGTTTAATATACTATTTAACTTAATTAAAAATAATTCATATAAAAATAATCAATACAATATTATATATATATATTTATATATATAATGAATATGATATGTACAGTAGTATAAGTACTTAATATAGTATCTACTAACGTACTATATAGATAAATCGTCAATTTATCAATGACATAGGAATTAATAATTAACTATACAATTATTGTATATAATATATAAATATATTCAGTGCTCGAATTGGAGGGTGCGCAGGGGGGACGGAGCTCCTCTACTATTTATTTTTTTTTTTGCGTACCCCAACTATATTTTTTCACCGGAACGGGGGGACGCGACGTTCATCTTAATTGATGTCCAAAATAATTTTTATGTGAATTTCAATTTACGTTAATTGGGAAATGAATTTTACGATTTATAATATCAAAACTATTTTTATAATTAAAGATTATATGATGGTTATGATAAGGACAACGTCGTCATTTCTTGAAAAATATAAATAGTAATGTCTGTGAATTTGGTGTATTATACTTTATACATTGTACCGTTTATTATTAATATTGGCGATCGACGATATCGTCATTTCGGAAAAAAATAAATGTCTTCACCTCTACCATAGCTCCTCTACTTAATTTTTTCCAATTTAAGCACTGAATATATTATGTTTATACTGGATAAAAATCGCCACCGCCACCGCCACCGCCACCGCCGCAATGTGTTCAGGTCTGCGATTTTAATATCGCCACCGCCACCGCGGCAGTGTGTGGGGACCTTAACTCATAGACGTGCGCAGGATTTTGTGTCGGGTGTTCAGCATACATTTTTAACCGGCCCTAAAAAACAATAACCTTCTTATTTCCTTTATATATCCTACTCCCCCACCCCAATCAATGCCTACGAATTACATATAGGTAGATACAACTTTATAAAATTACATTACTGCCATAATGCTAATAAAAATCACTTACTTGCTACTAATTCTTTTATTTTAGATTTTTTTTGATCTGAAAAAAAATCTTTTATCTTGTAGCCCTTAACACTAGTTTTCAACAGTAAAAGTCTTTTTTTTGCACGAACTTTTTCCAGATCGCCGAGTCGTTTACTCGACATGACAATGACTAACAGAACACAAGGACGAGGTCCGATTTGAAATTTTAATAAGACTGGAGACTGCAGTAACAGTGAAATATCGTTACAAATATAATAGTCGATTAGGTTATGGGATTACTAATTACAAATTATGTGAATCTATTCCGTTTTCGTATCGCTGCGCTGGTTGATTGGTTAAAGCACTATTGTCATTGTGGTTGTCTCTGTAGACCGTAATCTATACTCTGTTCCAAAAGAGAAGACACGATTTCTGCGCATTTTTCCCCTTCCACCTGGCTTTGTTTCACGCAGTGAACTTTATCGTATATAGTCTATTTCCGATCATTGCCGACGGTGTATACTAGTGATGGGAATAATCGAGTGATTTCGATAATCGAGAGATTAGTAATCGAGATATTATAGTAATCGAGTAATTCACTCGATTAAAATAATCGAGCGAATAGTAATCGAGGTTATTTTTTCTCGATTGTTCCCATCACTAGACGTAACTGTATTGATTTTAAGACAAATCTAGTGCTCTCAAATAAATACTCATTTAATTAAACTAAAGATATATTTGGTTATTGGTTGAAAGAAAAAATCATTATTTTACATAAATTTAGTATTAATCTAGAATAAAACATTTATTAGAAATAATGTTTTATTATCATTAAAACATAGGGCCTTAGAGGTATTCAAACCTATCAAACTATTCTTTAAATTAATTATATTTTTTTACATTTAAGTAGGATGTATGCTTGAAACGAATCTATAGACTTCATTATTTCAAACATTTTTTTTTTGTTAATTTGATTTAGTCATCTTTAAATTATGGATATTAATGTATTGAATATGTATTTATTTTAAAGAAAATTGTATTAATTTAATATAATTCAGTATTAATTCTAGGTAAATCGTTGAACTTCAAAATAATGATTCCATTTCATTAAAACATTGAAAGATATTTTTCTGAGTGTACCTAAAATAATTCGGGACCCAATTCGGATGCAGCCGAAAAATCACATCCTCGCTCATCTCACGTTCAATTTCAATACAATGAAGCTAATCTTGATTTTTAACGACCATTTTTACACATTGTAGGCTGCCTGACGTTTAGCTTCTTTTTTCGACCATCCTTCGCCTGTATAAGCACATATTTTTACATAACGATTTGTGATTACACGTAACGCCAAAGTGAAAACACATAGAAAGCTGACCGTACCTTTGACCGTGTACCCTCTTAAAGAGCATTCTATTTGAAAATGGTTATCAGCTATTTTAACGCATGAATGATACTCCGGTATTTTCCACCATCGAGCCATACACAATTCTTGTAGCGCAGATACGGCATCCGTGTTCACTTTCAACGCGATGTTCTTCTCTACTTTGATTTTACTGGTGAGAGGGCACACGTTGATATTATTATCGGTTATTTGTTTAGTATTATCATAAAAACATTAATACCGCATCCGTTGTTTGGCCGTCATTGTAATTTCTTTTGTGAGTTCTGTCCTCGAACTCATACGGTCTACGTTCAATACGGTTGTTCCGTCGTCCGTGTCACCAGCCTCTGGTCCACCATTTGGAAAGGACAATAACTCATGAGTATTTCTGTTTGATGCCATCGCCGGTCCACTGTAGATTTTTCCGCACATCGGAACATCTCCGGGAGAAACTGCACTTTCGTTGACGATCAGTAAAGGGTCATATCCAAGTTCAGTTTGGCTCGACACGTGACACTGGTCTAAATCCAGCACATCGGTCTGAGCTGACACATGACACGGGTTCAATTTTTCGGTCTGAGCCGATGCGTGACATTGGTCAAACACATCGGTCTCAGTCGACACATCACACGAGTCCAATATTTCGGTCTGAACCGATGCGTAACACTGGTCGAACACAACGGTCTCAGTCGACACGTGAGACTTGTCTAATATCTCGGTCTGAGTTGTTGTGTGACACTGGTCCAACACAACGGTCTCAGTCGACACGTGAAACTGGTCAAACACCTCGGTCTGAGTCGATGTGTGACATTGGTCGAACACATCGATCTCAGTCGACACGTGAGACTTGTTTAATATCTCGGTCTGAGTTGTGTGACACTGGTCCAACACATCGGTTTCAGTTGAGACGTTTAATTGGTCGAATACGTCCGTCTGCATTGAATTATCTACCAAATGCATTATGGTTGTCTCCGTCGAGACTTCGCGTAAGTCCACCATCATCCGTGTAGATGGTCCCGCGTTCTCGGAGACTTCAACTTCAGTGGCGATAGTGGCCGACCGTTCGTTTGCAGCCTTGATCGCGCAGCACTGACCGAATTCCCAACAACGTTTGTGTATGGACACCTTACACACTATAAAACACCGGGAGAAAAAATATTCATGAGACAACAACAAACGCCGATGATTTATTTTAACAATATCTTAAAATGCAACGGTAATAATGTCATTCGAGTGTACAGGGCCGTCGTAGAGTTTGGTGAGACCTATATAGTGGCAACTAGGGGTAATTATGGGGTTAATAACAAAACTAATGGATGTTGTGGTCACCAAAAGTTTGGGGTCTGGGGCAAAATAGTCCCAATGCGCCTCGACGGCCTTGTGAGCGCATAAAGTATTGAAAAATTATTTACCAGTGCACTTGTACACATGCGATGAGTAAATCCGTCTAGTGTTGCATCCCACACATTTAAGGAACCAAGCACTCTTTGTTCCACGGTTCGTGATGTCCTTGCAATGATTGCTCATAATGTGTGCCCGGTAACTGTGCAATAAATTAAACGAGTTAAATAATTCGTATTCGGTTAAGTTCCGATCCATTCGACTTACGCCATTATTTCTCGTAGGTTCTTCGGTGAATTCTAATATTCGAAACGATATATTTTGCGATCGTGAAAATCAACTATTATAAATGTTCGATATCAACGAATAACTGGTATAGAATTTTGTTTTAGCAATCAACGCGATAGATGGTGAATTCCCTACCAGGCGATCAAACAATAATGTACATGCTGCCAGCATAATATTTTAAAAGCTAATAAATTGGTCGTAAACTATGAATATCCGTATGATGTATTGTAAATATTAATAATAAAACTCTTTCCCGTTGATAGTATTGTTAATCGCGAATTTAAAAATGTCTACTTTTGAATTACACGCATGTATTTGCCACTGTATGATTATAATTTATCGTGTTTTTTAAGTAATGGACAACAAATGAAGGTAATCATATAAACAGTCAAATTATATTTTATGAATTTTATATTGTATTCTGGGTATTTATAAAAAACAAAACTAATCATTAGTATAATAAATAAAATAAAAATAAATATAGATTAATTGAATTGTTCTCCACAGCTCTTTTTCTAATTAAAAACCGTCATAGTCGTACCTCATTGCACTTATCGGTACCTACATGCTTGCGATGTATGTATGTATGTATTTACATTTAATCGACTTGCTTGAAGAATACCTAGAAGAAGTGTCAGAGTAACAAAAGACAAATCAAAATAATTTAAGTATAATTTAAAAAATACGGAGAGGAAGAATGGTTTGTGATTATAAATTATGTAATGCTATAATACTGTTAGCTTTTAATGTTACATATTGGTTATTGTATTTTTACTTAACTTGTGTTAACTTTTAAATATTTTTGAGAATGTGAAATTTCTTTTAGTTGATTTTTTTTTTAGATCGTTCTCATTATATCGAATGACTCCCACACCTAAGCGAAGTAAGATCCTCAATTACATTTATATATTTATACATATATATTCTAAAAATATGAGTTTATCGCATGTATTCCTTTGTAAATAAATTTGAACAAAAAAATTCAAATTCATGGGATTAAATAATTTCGCAATTCAAGTGATTGCGGTGTTTAAAATTTACGGGGAGGCTCATTTGTTTTTGAAATTCTTTCAATTTTTCTGCTGCAAGATTACTGTGTTTAAAATGACCTGCTATAGTTCGACATATTTTCAACACCCTGAGAAACTCAGTATTTTGATTAATGGCTTCATTCACACTTAAATTTAGGGTATGTGCAACACATGGGTGGTGATATTTTTGTAAATGATCATTTATAGCATGTTTTATATTTGCAACACTGTCCGAAACTATTGTTATAATTTTATTTGTTATATTCCACTCATTAAATATGTTTGAAAGTGCCGAAGCAATGTTTTTTCCGGTATGGCTATCTATAACTTCTTTAGTAGCAAGAACTGGAGAATACAAACAATCATTGAATATAAAATGGCAAGTTACAGTAATGTACGACCTAGTAGAATCAGATGTCCACATATCTGTAGTGATTGATACATAGTTTACGTTTTCCAACATATATTTTAGCTTTAAATAAATTACATTGTATTGATCAGGCAACAGTTTTGTAGTCAATAATTTTCTACTTAGAGGAGTGTATAATGGTTGCAATTGTTTTGAATATTCTAAAAAGCCAACATTTTCTATTATTGACAAGGGCTGATAATCGGTGGTAATCATTTTTACTACACATTTGTTAATTTCATTATTTTCTGCGACAGTTAGTTCATTATTTTTGTTGTACCGTATAATTTAAGTTGACGCGAACGTTTAACTAAAGGTTGATTTAAAGTTGAATATTCAGTTTGTGAATTAGAATTTGTTGAAGAAGATTGAATATTTGATAAGTTATTAATAGACTCAATGGAATTCAATTCGGAATCAGGATCGTCTGTTGTAGAAGCAGGAATAATAAGTGCCGTAAGATGTTTCCATTTTAAGTGCTCTTTTTAAAAACAAGATAAATAACGATATAATAATATATACTAATTATATAATTACATGGACGTGACAGTGGCGTGTCCAGAACTTTTGTTGTGGATGGGTCACAAATTTTTTTCTAACTATTTATAAATAATATTTTAATTTTTCATTGATCATCGGACTTACACTAGTCTAGTACTTATATGAAAATGTGGGTGGGCACATGCCAACCGGGCCCACCCCTAAACACGCCACTAAGACGTGCGTATGTAATAGAAAGGAACATATAAGGAATATAATAAATTATTTTATTTATATCAAGATGATTACGATATTTTTAAACACTTCTATTTTATAACTCCTATTAAATTTACTACTATTCAATATAAAAAAAATTAATAATTATTTTATATTTACCTTTTAAGTTAGTTGTATTTCCGTAAAATTTTAAATCTTTTTTACAAATTTGACAACTAATTGTAGTTTTGTCAACATTTTTTTTTTAAAATGCTCCCACACCATGGAACGCTGCTTACTGCCAGGTCGAATTTTAAACTTATAAAAAACTAGGTTGTATCTTTAATATTTATTATAATTATTTGAGAAAATTGATAGTTATATTATTTAATTTTTATAACATACTACTTACTATAGGCCAATACATAGTAAATACGATTAATATATATTAATATATAACGATTTTAACGTATAAAATGAACAATTAACGATAAAAAATATACGATACAAGTTGTATCATACAACATACAAATAAAATTAAAGTATACCGAAATAACAAATAATCCATGTGATCAAAATTTAAAATTATTATTCATAATAGATATAAATAAAATAATAATAGAAAGCATTTATTAAACGATTCCAGATAGTACAGAAACAGAAGAGGTATAGACATGGGCGTAGCGAGGGTGAGACAGGGGAGCCACTTGCCCACCCCTAAGCCTCAAACTGAATTATAATTGTTTATACCAAACTTGTAAGTTAAAATTAAAAAAGATATAAATATAAAAATAGTTCAGTGGGATTGAGTGTTAAGCTGGCCACACACTACGGTTTTATTTGTCCGTGTACGGTGTACGGTGTAGTTCGAACAACGTACACCGATAGTGTGTGGGCAATAAAACGGACGAAAAACACCGTGCACGGACACAGAATAAAAACTGAGGAGTTTGATTTTTTGTCCGTGTTCGGTGTTTGAAATGAACAAAACCGAAGGTTAGTGTTGTTCAAACACCGTACAAAGATACAAAATGGATAATGTGTGTCGTTCATCGGTGTACGAACTAAAAATGTGCGAACTACACCGTACACCGTACACGTACAAATAAAACCGTAGTGTGTGGCCAGCTTTATCTACACGTGCAATCGTTTTGACGTTTTATGTGTTATCCAATGGTCTATCTGTAGATTATTTGAATTACGAGTTTAACACTAATCACTTTATGTTTCCCCCCCCCTGATTCAAATCTTAGCTACGCCCTTGAGTATAGAAAATGTATAGAAAATCTATTGATAATTATTTTTACTTATATTCGTAGAATATACCGAGTACGGTGCGGGCCGCGAAATAATAAAATTCTCCACTCGTCATAGTGCAGATGGCAAACGCTGTTTTGATTGAAATATAAATTAGTAAATATAAAAATAGTAATTACTAATTTTTCATTCGATTATTTTTATAATAATCGAGTTACTCGATACATTGAAATAATCGAGTTACTCGATTATTTTTTCTCGATTGTTCCCATCACTAGTGTATACACTATAATTAAAATTTTGCACACAATAGTCGTGGGTGTGGGATGCGCACCGCCGAACGAAAACCGGTCGCCGCTTCGTGTCTTCTCTTTTGAAACGGACTAAAGTGTTTACGTCGAATTTCTCCAATAATTCCAATCAATTTTTAGACTTGTATTGATAAAATAGTATTATAATTTTTCATTTGAATAAAATTGAATATTTATATTTTAATTTAATTATAAACTCAATAGGTATGTTTAAAATTATTCATTCTATGTATATATTTCAAATAAATATCTACGAACCCACTAAATCCAAAATAAATTGTCAGGTGTAGTGAAAGCAGCATTCTCTGCTCTATACTCTAACTGTAACACATATAATTCGTATACATATTTAATGCATGAATAATACATATATAATAATTGGTATACATGTATAATATCTGATCAAGAAGTATAATTTCGTATTAAATGTATCGTTTTAAATTACATACCATCAAAAACAACGATTTAGGCAATTATTGTTATTAAAATTTATAATTGTTGTTTTATTAATAAAAGTATTTGAATTGTTAAGTTAATTGTTACAATTTGAAAAAAGCATGTACTTTATAACAGCAGTTTTGGCAAATCACTTTGGGTTCTTCTAACGTAATAGGCTCATTGGGTTTCCAGTATATCTTAATTCGTGCTCTCAACGCTCGTTTCCTCGTATTAATTTTTTTCAATGTCCTGGCCCTGATATTACTTTATGCATCAATTTTATCTCGTGAGCACTTTTCGCGGTTATCTTGTTGCACGGACCTTTATATTATCACAATATCTTTGTCCGTAACCCGAACATCTTCACAGCACAGTGACACTGGCAATTGTATTATAGTATTAAAATTTCGATCGTATGGAGTAATAACAGTATTAATTGTTTTAGTATGATTAATCAATGTCATACATTAATCAATAGTGAAAGTAATTTTTAAAATGACTACTCGTTTTTTGGATGTCGATGTATAATGAATAAGTTTCTGTTCTGGTTATTGTATGGTGTCTTGTCATGTTTATCTCATAAGATTATTAAAAAATTATAATTAGTAATTAGTAAATACTCGTAAATTAATATATAAATAAATAAACAGTCTATATAAATAAATAAATGTTTAACCTGGAATATTATTTTAATTATGAAGTAGAACCGGTTTCGAATTAAAAATGCACTATCAGGCGTATACTAATTCAATAAAATCATGACTAATAAAACTTAGTCACGATATTATTGGAGTGTGATTAAATACAGTATAATATAATATTATTTTTAATATTTTAATAATTATGAATATTTCTATGATATGTAACAAACACAAAAAAAATAAATAAATATATTGTAAGTATATCATACACACTTTTTTTTCTTCGCTAGTTGTTATCAATGAAAGATCAAATAAGTAACAATTGTTTAGTATTTCTACGTTTTGTAGTATTATTTTAATTTGTATCATCTACAAAAAAAAAGAAAAATATCATGTTTTTTTTTGTAAATTGGCTGTAATCTAGTGGTTCCCAAACTGTGATTCCTTTGGGAGTCGCAATCACTTATCGAAGGAGGTGCAAGGCAAATATTTATACTGTATATTACACTACCATATATTTATTTTTAGATCGACAGAAATTTGCTTATATTTAAGTAATAAAAAATGTTGTTTTGTGGGAAAGCGCAATTCATTAATTCTTTTTGTTTTGAGGAGGCGTGATCCAAAAAAGTTTGGGAACCGCTCCTATAGCCATTTGATCTCAAGTCACCCAATTATATAGATTTTTAAATAGCCTACTTTATAAAAAGTTAATTGCGTATAATTTTTTAATTTTATTTTGGACTAGCATGACACCAAATAGCTATAAAATATGATATTTTGTACATGGGAATTTTAATGAGTAATTTTTTTGGCATTATCATACGATTCAAAAGGATTATAGTAAAAATAATTGTTCACACATTTGTTATATAAGCAATTCAATCTTCTTTTACTAATTATAGTATTTTATATTTGTTATTTTATTTTTTGTTTTAATATAGATTAATAAGCTCAAACTATCGCTGAAATCATAATGTCTGAAATACCTCATTCATCAAAATCTTTGCCAGAAAAAAATCAAGTTATGGAAGATAGTCAAATGATAAATCATCAGGAGCCATTAAATCCACCAGAACAACCACCGGAATTAGATGCAACTAAAAAACATCAACAAATAACACTACTTTTAAAGTATGCAATGTCATCATCGGTTAAAAGTATACATGTATCAGTCATTCAACAAACACCAGTTACAGAAGAATTACCTACAGCTAAACCAACACAATTAAAAAAATCCATGGATTCCATAAGTAGTGAAATAACAAATACTTGTATTTGTGATCCAGATGTCATCATTATTGATGATAGTGATGATAGTTTAGACTTAAATTTAAATAATACAACTTCCGCCACAGATTTCCCTCCTGACTCAAGTATAGTTGGAAGAGGCGTTAGAACCACTGAAATTATGGACTATGGTGACAGGGAGAGAGATAGGATCACATACAGAGAACATCAGTATCCTAACGTACATCCTAATGAACTCCAGCCTTCTCATATGCTAGTACCTTTGGTCAACGAGGAGTATGAACAATTCATAGATCCTCCATATACTCCGTTCAACAATTCGCAATGTTTAATTCAACCGAACAACAGTTTTAACTATAGCAATTTTTCGTCTATTGGCATTTCCCTTAATGCAAATACAACTAGTACATTTGAACAGCAACCAGAAGGAAATAATAACTTGGAACATAATAGTAATAGTGACAACGCACGACCATTAATGAACCAAAGTTATAATGATAGTCAAGGTATGTCATCACGCAATTATTCATTGCAGGATCATGAAACGGCACACATTCTTGCAACATTAAGCAAAGTAAAAAAACCAAGGAAAAAATACAAAAAGAGAACTGGAACTGAATTGACCAGATCTGTTAACCCTGCTTCGGAGCAAAATGAAGCAAAGCTAAATAATTCTGAGTTTTCCTGTAATCTTTGCCCGAAACAATTTAAATCTAAACGTGCTTTGTCACAACACACGAGATTTCATAAAAAAAACGAACATCGTCCTTGAGATTGAATATTATTATTATTAAATAATAATTGTAATTATGAGCTATGTATTAAAAAATAAAAAGTTCATAAATCTATTTAATATATGCAGTTTTTCTTTATTGGAAATTTAAAATATCTAGAAATGGTATGATACAATGGTGAACATTAAGATTATATCAACTTTAAGTTAAGACTTACGAGTATAATAGTTAACTTAACAAGTGAGAATGCAAAAGGTTAAAAATGATTACATTTGATTGCTACTCAATCATCCTGTCATCTAAAATACAATTTACACTTCATGGTAATACTAAAACATTCCTCATTTCATTCAGAATCTAAAATATGAGACTATGAATGTGTAAATTCGAGAAATCCGAAGGTCTTCGCAAATAAAGAAATTATAGTTACAATAGGAAATACTATAAGATTATATGCAGCACTGAGTAATTGCGAAGTTAGTGAGAGGCAGTGATGTAAAAATGATGGGGAGTTCGAGGTTTAGAATAAATTACCCCAAGGACAAAAAAAAAAATTCCAGTTTTGAGTTTTGAAATGGTCAGAATGATAAATATACACATTATGTATATTTTAACGTGTGTATAAAATGTAGAATTTGCCAATTATGATGAAATCACAAAAATATACATTTATTATCCAAGGAGATATACAAATAAACGTTTGATATTAACATTAAAACTTGAATTTAATCCCCTCTCCCTTCTATAAGAAAATTGAATGTACGCCACTGGAGAGAGATATCCATGTTCATTCGTTAGTAACTATCAGGGCTTAAATTTAAATAATATATATTGTTTACCGTTAAGGGACATTTTCATGTTATAAATAGGCTTAGGGACTTCTAGCATTTGCATACTTTTTTTAATTATTGTTAAATACATCAGAGTGCGAAATAAATTCGTTTTTCGGTGCCATGATATCAGATCTAAAATTTGAATGTGCATATTTTTGCATATTTGATAGATTATGCAGGAGAGTGCATATTTTAAAATTGTTATGCTTATTTTGCATATTTTGACAAATTGTTCTAATTTAGAGTTAAAAACTTTAGATAGGTACATATAACTATATATACATATTTCAACCGATCGAAAAAAAAATTTACTAAGGGCGCCATTTTATCAATCATCAGTTAAATAGTAGATTAACTAATCTTTGTTTTAAATTAACTGAAGATTAAAATAATTTCAATTTTATCAATTATTTATTTATCAATCAAATTTAATCGAGGTTTAAGTAAACTGATTTTTATAATCTGAAGATTTACTATTAATAAAAGTAAGCTATGGCACTATTGTAAACATGTTGTTACTTTCATATTAATAAAAAGTTTGGTTTTAAACAAAAATGTGCTATTATCTATGATAATAAGAACTTAAACTATATTTAAGTACTTTAACTGATCAAAATATCTCGGTCAACTTAATTTGTAGTTGAAGTCCAGTTAAAAATTAACCAATTGATAATAAAATCATATTTTTAGTTTAAATGAAGTTTAAACTTTAAATCGAATTAAAATTGTCTTAACTGACGGTTGATAAAATGGCCCTAAGAGGACTTAATACTTCTAGTAATATGCTATCTGCAAACTACCTCTAATATCTCGTTATAATTTTTGTGTAAGTAAAAATATATACTATATTCTCATATCGACCGTATAACCCACTGAATATCGATTAAGATAATAGTCGATATAGAATAATAGATTATTTGTTTAGTATTCAGTTCAGTCGATTATTATCCGTCGTTGTTTTTGCGTTTCGCAACTACAGAACGTCGAATCATACGTTTAACGTCGTACGCGTATATTTTGTAACATTGTTTAATGCCAAAAGTACAACAGTCTACGAGTAGCCGAATACAAAGTTTTGTTTCGGAGTTTAAAGAAACATTTAAATCCGATGGACACGTTTTATTTTGTGTACGATGTGGTCATTTTTTTTTTTTTTTTTAATGCATATAAATGCATATTATGTTTTTTTTTTAATGATTTTAGAAGTATATTTGTGTATTTTTTAGAGCTATAAGTCCCTAAGTCTAGTTATAAGCAATTGAGCGTTAATCGTTATAGATAATTTAAACGTTATATAAATTTAAACATTTATAAAATTTTCCGTTTACCATTATTGATAATTAACTCATTATGAACAATTTAACATTTTGTGTTATTTAAATTAGTGTAAAATTTAAAATGTTTTCAAATTTAGTATTTAGCAATCAATAATATGTAAAATAACATTACATATTTTAAATATTATATCATTATATAATATACATAAACATTAAATTCTAATAAACAGAGGAATACAGAATGACACAACACATAGGTATATTAATTATTAATGTAAATGTTTGCCATTTACAACATTTAGTAATATCATTAATTTAGATAAACAAAGTATAAAGAACTTTTTTGGTTTTGTTTGTAGGTACTTTATATTGTTTGTACATATAAAAATGTTTTTTATATAACAACTTTTAAATAATATAAAATATAATAGTGGTAATAATAATAGTGATTGTAAAGTAGTATATATTATATATATTGGTACAATAGTACATAATATAAATGATAAAATTATAAAAAAATTAAATATAAAATAAATTGTAAAAGTCAATGACTACTTCCATGTATTGTTAATATATTTTCAAGTATTTCTTTTCCAATTGAACCTCTCTAATCAGATAAAATAAATTTCAAACCTGAAAAGCTTTGATGTACACTCGTCCAAACAAAAACAGTTATGTTAAAAACTAATATATAGGTATTACAAAATTTGTAGTACAATATAAGTATTAAGTTTTCCATACAACCGAAAAAAAAAAGAAAAGAAAATTTATACAATGATACTATATAGTATATATTGTTTATTTTCAAATAGTTTTAGAATAAAAATTTTCTTTTATAAGATTTTAAAATCAAATAAAATGAAAAAAATATACAAACATTACATTATACTGTAAAATGCTTTTTACATATTTCAATTATTTAATATAATACTTGTGTTGCTGGTACTGCTAAGAGTATTTGAGCTAATTCAAACAATTCTGGCATCTCATCTTTCTTTTCAATCCAAAACTTAACAATATCTTCCTTATAATTTAATCTTTCAGATTTTGAAAAATCTTCCAACTATGTTTTTAACCATGAATTATTACTAGAACTTCGGTTATTATATTATTGGCACTTGGCACTTGAGAGTTTTGAGATAGGTACATTAGAATTGTATTGCAGGAATTTTTCAAATTCATCACTATCATCTTCAACAATTATTTCATCAGTGGTATCATTAATTATTGGTTCAATTGCAAATATTTCTGAATTCTAAAAAAAATAAAAAAAAAATATTTTTAACCATCTACTTAACTGTTTTATTTTTTTATGAAAATAGGCCATGAGTAATAACTTGTAATTCAACGGACAAAACCAAATATAGTAGATATATTTCATATCTCAATATATGTTAATGATTCTATTAAATTTCATGTTTTCAAAAGGTGATTAACTGCTTTTTCTTGACTAAGAACAGTTAGTAAACACCTATACCTTGGATCCATATAAATCGCTAATAAATAAAATACAAAAATATTCACAATATATTTAATACATCTATCAAATTTAGAATATAATGGTATTACCTAAAACAAATATATCATTTTCTAACAATTGAAGTTCATGTGTTTTCATATTATTTAAAATAGACAGTGATAAAGTTGAATTTATTTTTGGTCTGAATTCAAATCTCATAAAAATCTCCTAAGGTTAAGATTCTTTTCTGAAGCATTTAAGTTGCTAAATTGACAAATTCAAGAGATTTAATCTATTCAAAATTTAAAGTTTAATAATAAAAATGTGTACCTAATCAATACTATAATTTATATATTACCAAATATTCAATTTTCTCCATTCACCTTCATTTAACTTTAAATCATGGTTTATCTGTTGATGATCTCCACAACATTTTTTCAGTTCAATTAATCTAATCAACATTAAATAATTAGTATATAACTCCATCTTGTAACATTATCAAGTATAGCCTGTTTTAAACCATCTTTTTTTAGTAATGAAACATATGTCTGAGTTCTTATTGTTTTCACCATCTATTATTTGCATCAGAAACAAGAAAAAAAATAACTAAATAAGAAAATAATTATTTAATATAGAAAAACTTTTTAAAATTAATATTAATATAGAAATAATAAATAAAAATTCACTATCTTTTAATCTTATTAATGATTCAATTTCAGTTATATACTGTTAAATACTACTTTGCGATTTGTATTTTATTAAAGGAGAACTACTAGTTATTACATAAATACATAATACACAATGTAATATAATATAAATGTATGTAATACTTTAACTTGAAGTCTAATTTAAAATTTAATATAATAAAACTACTGATTTTATAGATAATGACTTATGAATATGATATGTTAGCCAAGTAATAGCAAATCAAACAATTATGTTTAAAATTTAAATAATAATTAATAAATACAAAAAATACACTAAAAATGTATGTTAGGTGTTAGAGATTTATGGTATTTTGATTGGAAACAATAGCTTGATTACCAGATGTGCTAGTTTATAGTATCTAAGTTAGGTATAATATGATTTATATAAGTTTCGAATTAATGATAATTCACATAATACTTTTTGTGCTTTTGTTATAATGTTTAAATTTGCAAATTGCTTAAGCCAATGATCTATGCATAACTGCAAAGTATGAGTAGAGCATCTAATGCATTGAGTTAAAGGTAATGGTTCCTAATTGGAGTTGAAAACTGTAGCTACATAGTTTTCTAAATTTTCCGGATTCAAATTCAAGTTTAGTTCGTCAATCATTGCATTGACTTGATTATAAAATAAAAGTTCATAATTCATAATTCATAATCATCTACGCAAATAATTAAAAACTACCCCTGATACTTGTTAGTTAAATATTGTTTATAAGTTATAACTGAGATTCAACATAAAAAAAAAATAAAATTGTAGTTATAATTTAAGATAATATTTTCACCTTTTTCATTATCAGATTAATCAATAGTCTCTACATCTTCAATAAACATACGTACCATTTTCACAATATTTTCTCCATTATCACAGGTAATTGAAAACACTTGACGATCATAGATATTGAATTTTTTTAAAATTTGTGTTAACTTAAAAACTTAACAAAAATGAAATAATTTTTTTAACATACCATGCCTATAATTTATATCTTTAAATTATAAATATTAGTGAATATTTAACTAAATCAACTTGATAAATTTAGCAGAAATATTAGTTTAACATTTTAAATATATATATATATATATATATATATTTACATATTATTTTTTATAATTTAATAAAATTTATATACATATTATACATTATTCACCATTTCTTTTAAATATTCAGAAGTATGTCGTTCAGATAGTTCTGTCTCTCCGATTGTTTTTATAAACAATTTAAAATCTTTAAAATATTGAATATTTATGCCTATAATAGATCTATTAAGCCTTGTAACGCAATCAACTTTAAGGTACCTACATTTATTTGTTATCAACATCTTGTTTCATATTATCTATTATGGTTTTGGCATATTCATTTAAATGATTTTTTATATTTTGAGAGTTTATTCTGAAACCTTAGGTGAGAAAAACAATTAAAATTAATAAAAATATTAATTTTTAAATATAGATGGGTAAGTATATATTTGTTATACATATTATAGTAAATCCAAGTTGAATAGCATGAAGCCAAACAGTGGCGGCTTTAAAAATTGGGGTGTAGTCATCTATCAAATATTAAAATATACCCACCCCTTAAATTTAATAGCTGTTTACCTATTGTATAAAGATTAAAGATATCTAAAATACTATTTACAGTAGGTATACTCCAATACCCATCTACCTATATAAATTGTAACACAAGTCACAAACCAAATAAATTGTTTAATTTATTTACATATATATTATACACTTTGAATTACCCAAACTACTAGGATATCTGCCTCTATAGAATAAATTATATGTGTAGGTATTATATAAAATAATAAGTACCTAAAACAAATTTTTAATCATCAATTTATTCTTATTTAGCATTAAAGAAAATTTGTCTAGGAGTATACTTTGCAAAATATAAATAAATACAATATTTATCACAGTAATTTAGTAATTAGTAAAAATAATTAGATAACTTAAAAAATAACTTACCATCACCAATAGCATCAAACATTGGATTCATTATCATTCTGAAACCTGAATTATCTAATAATGTGAATGGTCTTCCATTTGTGATAACCAATTGAACACAAGAATCAATCAGTGGCGCTTCTGGCATTAAAATTTTGAGGAGGCAACAATTTTGTTCCTACCCATCTGAACTTATTAAAGCGAATCGCACAGTCCTAAAAACTCATTTATTTTGTTTAAATACAATTTTTTTCTTTAATAATCTGTCAGAGAACAGTTTCATTTTCACTATAACACATAATTAAATGCTAACTACTAAGTTACAATTTGGCATTACTGGTAGGTATATTGTATATAAATTATAATTATAATATCAAAATACTATATACATCTATAATTTATACAAAACTGAGACATAAACCCTATAAAAGTGTCTCTTTAGTTTTGAGTTACAAATAGTTGAATATTTACAAAATTGATGCAAAAGAAAAATTTCAAAAAAATTTATTGACCTAAATAATAACAATTTTTAGTTTCTAAATTGACTAGTGTCTTTCTAGTAAAAATCAGCATAGCCTAATGTAATCCAAACAGAATTTGACTGACTCAATAAAATGCATGGCCAACAGAATAACCTCTGTAAATAAAAACTTCCACATATCCAAGGATGTTTAGTATAAACGTTGGAATTGAAAGACCTACAAAATACTTTTGAGCCAATTTTGTCTGCAGATAAATACGTCAGAGAAGGAGTTGGTTTACCTTGCCTAAGTAAATCGTTTTTGTCACATGTACTCCAACGTCTGTAAGGATGTTCTAAAAGCAATACAATCGGATCATAAATTGGATTCATTTTTAAAAAATATGAAAAAAACAACTTAAAACAAAAAAATACTAATCACTTTAATAACTTTAATTTTAAATTAGAATGCTTTATTTTGTTCTCAGAAGTCACAACTCACAGTACGAACTACCTAATCGTCTACCTAAACAAATACAACAGAAAATAAAACAATTGAATAATTATTCTAATCTTTTATATTACAAAACGTTATAATACAAAATAATAAACATATTACAATTACTATTGATATTTGATAATAACTCATTTAGTGATAACGTGGAATAAAGTAAGGGATTAAATAATCATAATATGATTTAAAGAATAATAATATAACTTGTACACACAAAACATAGAGAACGCCTAAACTCTGTTTGTACCCAAAAGTTAAAATAATAATTATCGGTCAGTCGCTGTGAGTCACAGCCTGTGACGTTTTCTGACGGAGGCAACGGTAGTGTGCAGTCTCCGCGGAGAATCGCGCATGCGCTATTAGCATATTTTATGTGCGTTTGTGTGTGTAAATTTGTATACACATGTAACGTATCGATAACTGTGACAGCGATTGCCTCCTGAGAAAGTGGGGAACCGCCGACACGGGATGTATGGAGGGGCAGCCGTAGCCTAGTTTATTGTATAGTAATACAGTATGTCAAATTATTAGTACATTACTTTAAACAATATTATATTCGCCTGTTGTGCACACTGCACGCGGCAATGCGGCACGCCGCACAGGCACTTGGGTATTCTCTTAACCATGAACTGATGAGCACCACGGACTTGAAAGATTGAGACCGTGCACGGTATACTCCATAGTCCGTTCAATACATAATTTAAATTTATATTTATATTTATCTTTATTAATTTCCCTTTTATTAACGTGTCTATGCTTGAAATTATAAGCAAAACATATTTAATAATTTAAATAACATTAACCGTGTAGTTTCTTGTACTTTCAAGGGAGGCACTGCCTCCCTCGCCTCCCCGGGAAAACCGCCACTGGAATCAATAACTTGATTCTTGTCTAAATCTACTCGTGTTAAAGTTTTTTTAGTTCAAATAAACATGACATCAACAGGTCCAGTTTGATCGATTTTTAATTTCTGAAAATTGTAGAAAATAATTAATATCCCAGTGATCTAACAAGTAACATCCAAGTCCAAGCTTTACCAAATTATAAAATTATAACTAAAATATTTAATTTATTTTAAATTAAGTATAACTACTAATTTTAGCTGTTGAACAATTTCCACTAGATTTTTTTTTTTTTCATTCACTAGTAAAACATATATTTCTTTATGAAAACTTTTTCTATGTCTCTCTAAATTTCGCGAATGATTTCCGGTGCGAACAGGATTTATAAAACTCAAAACTTGGCTTATACTTTCGTTGCTCTGAATATTGTACTGGAAAAACATTCGTTCTACTGGATTCGATTTAATTTTTGGTATAATTGATCAATTCAAAAATGTTATATATTAATTATATTTGAATATTGATATAACTGTTCAAATTAAAAAACTTAAAATTTGATAAAATATGTAACGCATAAAAGATATGTTAACAAGAATAATACGCGGTAATCGAGTAGGTATACTCGTGGCCACGTACTCGGACACATTAACAAAGAAATAAATATAAATTACTTTGTAAGTTGTTATTGTAAACACTGGTACACCAAAAATCGCAATTCACTACTAAAATTAGACACTGTTTAACCAGTAAGGAAGATGGTAAACTGCGGTAAAAAAAATTAAGATCATACAATCTGTGACAAAAATGATAAGAAATATACAAACTGCAGCAATTTACTATATACATGTTTATCGTTTAATTAGGAATAATATGTGTTATGACAGCTATTCAGTGGTTAAAGTGGTTAAAGTAGTTAAAGTGAGGGAGACGGCCTAATAAACGAGATATTATCGTTATGGTGTGATCACACGGCGCGTGGCGCGTCGTAAGGAGTGTGGAGCGTGTACGTACCGCGCGACAACTTGGCGCGCCTGTATGATCAGACGGGACGTCATAGTTCAACAAGTTTCTCCTAGGCGGAGTACAATTTTTCCCACTTTAACCACTACAGCTATTAGTCAAGAGACCCTTAGAATATTAGGCACATAAATAAATAAAAACCAATTTTTATAGTTAAAAAATATTATTATTATTCAAAATTATTTTAAGTTATGGCGTGTAGCTAAAAGTTAACATTTTGTCGTTTATTTTTAAAACATACTTTTTCAAAAATTCATATTTTGAAATACGTCCATCTTCTTTAATTTGTCGCTGTTCGTTGGTAAATTTGTATTTTTGCGTTGTTGCTTTATTTATTTTTTGTATTATCCCTTCTTCTGCACTTTTAATTTTTATATATGTGTCATCTTATATACTCGTATTACTAGTATTATCAAAAATTAAGGAACCCATATTACCGATATGTTTCGTTAAAACTTATAAATATATTTGGATTTACATTACCACTTTGTTCGCAAGACGCAACATTTCATAATTAATCAAACGATATACGTCTTAGGTACATATAGGTAGGTTTATATGATTTAGGTACTATAATAAATAGTACATATAGTAGGTATGTATATAAAATAAATTTCCGCAGTTTGTATAATGATCTTATCAGTTTTGTCGCAGATTGTAAAATCTTAATTTTTTTTTTCCGCAGTTTACATACAGCCACCAGTAAGTACCATATTATTAATTATTATTATTATTGATACTTGCTCAACTTGTAATATATTACTATATATCATAGGCGTGTCTAAACCTCCATGGCTGGGTAGGCCAGTTTAAATTTTTTACTTACTACAGCGATCTATAATCTATATCTATGTTTGTGATTTATTTTTGTTGTATGGAAATAATATAGCATCTGGAATTTTTTCATCCCGCCAAATTAAAGATTTTCTTGGTCTTAATATTGGTTTCCTATGCTATTACAACTATGAAAAAATAAGGCTAAGCACTAATGTGCTACTTAGTTATTTTTTATAAATATTTTATCTACTGTACATCAACCATCTCTACACATCTTATGGCAGTTATTACACAATAAACAGTTATTTATCAGTTTGGTTAGACAAGTAATTTATTAAAATATTACAAATAATAAAATTCAATAAATTTAAAAATTAAATTTACCATCTACCTAAAATTACCTACTGTTATTGTTTCACTCACGGATATAGATACCTACTATATACATATATATATATCCGTGATTTCATCATTATAAGCCAAGAGGCCAAGAATGTCGTTGGGGAGGTCGGTGCCCACCCTGCCACCCCCGGTAAACACGACTATGCTATATGTAGTATTTATAAACTCTATATAGTTAATGTGGGATCACACGACGTGTGGCGTGTCGCGTGGAGTGTTGAGTGGTACAACGCGGTACACAAAGCCGTCTGATCGGTATTGCACGACAAGATTTGTACGAGCGACGCGCAACGCGCTGCTTCCCGGCAATTGTCGATCTTCGTGTCACACGTCAAAGGAAAATTGGCGCGGCGCGTCTTATCAATCTAACAGCGCGCCGGTATTAATTGGTTGTCAATGTGTCTATTTATCATTTTTCATGCTTTGAAGTTTGAACTACGTTTATAGTATTTGGATTTTGGATGGATTTCTAACGAAAGGAAATTTAATTATTACGCGCAAAGATTAGAATTGTGTGCCTATTACAAAGGACCAGAGTTGATGATCCCAGAGAGAGACGCGTGCCTAGGAGAAACTCGTTGAACTATGACGTACCGTCTGATCACACAGGCGCGCTTAGTTGTCGCGCGATACGTATACGATCCACATTCCTCGCGACGTGCCACGCGCCGTGTGATCACACCGTGACGATAATATTTCTCCGTTAATTAAACAATCATATTTGTTGTACAAAAACAATAAAATGCACATACCACGTAAAATATATATATATATATATATATATGTGTTTATTGTCGATTTATAACTTACGTATGGTATATTATAAAGGTCTATAGACGTGCGACTCTAATTATAACTGCTTTTCCTATTTTTAAATGAAACCTATTCCCAACACCGCCGAATGGCTGTTGTGTCTCTAATCGCGCGACTGACGACCGCTTCATAGGCGGTCAAAACGCACTAGACGCGCACCGATTATCGTTGACTTGTTAATTTGATACCGTTTATTTACCGTTTATTTGATTTACCTATATAATTTTAAAATTTCTTATGTAACAATTTAGATTAAATACCTACTACGCGTCTCTTGCGATTTGTAGTTGTACGCAGTGGCGTACATTCAATCTTGCTCTGGTGGGGGGGGGTTAACAATAATAATCGTTATCTTCTTTTTTCGTTGCACAGATAAATAAGATAAATAACTGCTATAAATAGATATTATTTTATACAACTTTTTTACCAATTTGCAGTTTATTTTTACATTACAGTAAATTAATGCCATTGGAATATAAAAACAGCATAGTTAACAATACTTTTCAAACACCTATCAATATAATTATTTAATTATCATAATATTTGTATAATTGTATATTTTAAGTTCAAAGCGTAATAATGAAACTACGAATATATTACACGTCAATAATAATAAGACAATTTTATTTTTTTTTTTAGCCCCTGGGAAGGAGGTTTGAACCCGGACCCCCCTGTATGTACGCCACTGGTTGTACAGAATACCTACTCAGTCGCGTTGCAAAAATTCAAATCGCACCGCGTCAGTCCCGTCAGTCGCGCGTCTACAGACGCTTCTTACCTTTAAGGAATCATATCTTTAATGTTTCGTTGGTTTTCACCAAAATAATTTTGAATGAGGCCATACGGGTTCCGTGCCGACAATATCCGACGTGATTTCAGAAAGCATACTTATAAATCATAATTGGTATCTAATATTTCATTATATTTTATTAGTCGATAAATTTATTGCTGTTTTAAACATCCTTTTACATTTATTTTATTTAGATTACCTAGTAATTTAAGTCAGTTATACAAAAATAACTATG